GAGGGGAGGGGAGGAGAGGAGAGGGGAGGGGAAGGGAGGGGTAGGAGAGAAAGAAACCATCAGGAGGCACGTGGCCACCCCTGCTGTGAGCCAGGCACCTTTTGAGTACTGAGCACAAGAGATTTCATTTGTCCTCAAAGGGCAATAGTGCCAGTTTCCAGATGAGGAAACTGAGGTCACAAAGATAAACGGCCCACCAAGGCCCTGTAACTAGAAAGGGATGGAGCCAGGTTTGACCCCAGGCAGTTTGCTTATGAGAAAAGGTTAGGGGTCAGGTTCAGCAGGTGAGGAGGAGCGTGGATGCTGTCTAAGGTTGCAGGCAGTTAGTATAGACCAGGCAAGCTGGAACCCTGCTGGATTTTCAACATATTGGCTCCTTTAACACAACTGCTCTATGAATGGATATTCTGCATTTTTTGTTTTGTTTTGTTTTGAGATGGAGTCACTCCGTTGCCCAGGCTGGAGTGTGGTGATGCAATCTTCGCTCGCTGCAACTGCTGCCTCACGGGTTCAAGCAATTCTCCTGCCTCCACCTCCCAAGCAGCCGGGGCTACAAACACCCACCACCGTGCCCAGCTAATTTTTGTATTTTTAGTACAGATGGGGTTTGGCCATGTTGGCAAGGCTGGTCTCGAACTCCTGACCACTGGTCCCAGCCTCCCAAAATGTTGGGATTATAGGAATGAGTCACCTCGCCCAGGCAGTTGTTTTATTATTTTTTATTAGCCCCATTTCACAGATGCAGAAACTAAGGCCATGGTAAGTGAATCAGTAGGTTCTAGGAGGTAAGCAACAGAGCCGGGATTTGACCTTCAACAGCCTGGCTCCAAATTTCATGCTCTTAAGTGCTTTGCCAAAGTGTCACAGTGCAGATTTCAAGGACAGGGGCTGGCAGAAGCTACCTTCAGGAGCTTGATGGTGAGCTCTGCCAGGCTCAGCGACCAGTGCTTCACGTGACTCCCTGTGGCCCCACAGTTCACAAAACTCAGCTCCTGCCCCAGCACCTTCATGCTCAGCTGGCATCGCAGAGGCTGCTGGACCCCACGCCTCTGGGTCACCTGCAGGAGAACCGAGACAGGTCACAAAGAACAGGGTCAGGATTAGCAAGGTGATACAGTTGGCTGTGTCCCTACTCAAATCTCATCTTGAAGCTCCCACAATTCCCACATGCTGGGGGAGGGGCCCAAGGGAGGTGACTGAATCATGGGGGTGGGTCTTTCCCATACTGTTCCAGTGCCAGTGAATGGGGCTGTCACTCTGCACAAGTCCTCTCTTCCTTTGCCTGCTGTCATCCATGTAAGACGTGACTTCCCCTCCTTGCCCTCCACCGTGATTTTGAGGCCGCCCCAGGCGGTTGGAACTGTAAATCTATTTAATCTCTTTCTTTTGTCAATTGCCCAGTCTCAGGAGTGTCTTTATCAGCACCGTGAAAATGAACTAAAACACAGGGCAAAGCGCCTGTACTTTGGGAGGGGGAAGGGGTGGCTGATGAGCAAGGTCAAGAACTTGTGGGATCCAGATGAGGCTTGCAAAACTGGCTGCTAGAGCATGAACCAAATCCCAACCCCAGACGTGATTTCTCTGACTTGCACAGTAGTGCCCAACGCCGACAGAGTGTGTCTATGTTTTCATCAATGTTCTACTTTAGTGTGATTTTAGATTCATGGAAAAGCTGAAAACTGGTTGGGCGTCGTAGCTCATGGCTCTATTCCCCGCACTTTGGGAGGGTGAGACAGGAGGACCGTGTGAGGCCAGGAATTTAAAACGAGCCTGGATAGCATTTCGAGACCCTGTCTCTACAAAATAAAAAATAGTAATTAAAAATAATAGCCAGGTATGGCGGCACCCGCCTGTCCTCCCAGATGCTTGGGAAGCTGAGGTGGAGGATCACTTAAGCCCAGGAGTTCAAGGCTGCAGAGAACTATGATCGTGCCACGGTGCTCCAGCCTGGGCAACAGACAGAGCAAGACCCTGTCTCTGAAAACAAGGAAAACAAAGACAGTCTGCAAAGACGGTACAGAGAGTTCCCACGCACCCCTCCCCTGGTTTCTGCGTGGTCAGCATCCTCCATCACCAGAATGCATGGTGCAAACTAACCAACCCGTGTCGGTATGTTTCTAGTAACTACACCCCAGGGGCCATGTACATTTCACCAGTTTTCCCACTAATGTCCTCTTTCCATCCCAAGATCCAATCCAGCAAACTCCACGGCATGTAATTGCCATGTCTCCCTGGTCTCTGGTTTATGACAGTTTTTCAGTCTTTGATCGTTGTTCATGCCATGTACATTGTTTATAAGTTGAATTTGTAAATTGGGAAATTTTAAACAAAAGTGGAAGATCTTATATGAAACTCAGCTCTCTGGCTTCTCTATAAAGAAAAACACTGGGGGGCTCACCCTCCCCACAAGGGGCAACAAGAAGGCAGAGCTGAGCAGGGGCTACCACTTTAGCTGAGCATGGGCTTCCTCCGTCTGCCACAGTCCCCACCACTCCCTATTGTCTCTGCAACACTGAGGCCAAGTATCTGCTGCCATTCATCACTGTGCTCATGCAGAGTATTTCTCGGGGTGTGAGTCTCTAGGAAAAGTGAGGAAACAACAGAACAAGGGGATTGTGCATTCTAAGAAAGCCTGTTTGGATCTAGCCCACCTCCCTCCTTCAAGCCTCTTGCCGCCCCCAGCTCTAGTCCAAGATGCTTTTAACAGCAGGGATTACAGTCCTCTCAGGCCCTGGGTTTACACTTGGTGGTTAGGAAACATGTGGCCAAGTGAACCAATGCCCCAGCCATCCACCTTGGTCACTATGAGATGTACATGGCAATGACACTTTATAAGAGTAAAATGTAGCCAGTAATCTAAAAGTCCATTGATGGGAAAATGATTGTGTCAACTGAGGTCCCCACCCATAGAATGAATATTAACATACCTGTGTACGGCGAGCTTCTACTAAGAAACTACTCAAGAGATAATAATTACAGAAAAAGCAGGCTAAAGAGACATACACCTTAAGACTAAGAAATTTCACTCCTTGGCCTCCTCCATATAGCATGCAACAGGTAAATAAAAATGTCTTTATGAAGAATTTTGTTGTGCTATTATCTTAGGGTTGAATCAGGGCCGAGATAGAGGCAGAGGCAGGTGAGGTCTGGGGATCTCTTAGAGATCAGAATTTGTCTGAGAGACACAGAGCCTACAGTTCACCCAGAAACGGGGCTGTATCTAAGAGGACAGGGGCTAGAATTGGTGAGTCTGAAAGTTTTTTCAAGTGTATGTGTGAGGGCAAGGGTAGCTATAAAACCATTCTCCTTCCTCCCCCTATACCTTCTCTAGCTCCCAAATAGAAGGGCAGGGACCCCTGAGAAGGGAACAGAGTCACAATTCCCCCAAGTTCATCTGATCCACACAGAGCTTCCAGCAGACAATGAGTTGGGCATATGCCTTGGTGCTGCCTGACCCCTCCCCCAGCTCAGAGCTTCTTCTCTCCACCTATGCCCGACAGGTATGAATACATACATTCCCTAAGACCTAAGAGTCTTCATCAACTCATGGATACACAAATTGTTGTACGGTCACACAACGGAATACGACACAGCTATGAAAATGAACAAATTATAAGTACACACTGCAGTATGGAGAAATCTCACCAATTTTAAACCAAAGAAGTCAGGCACAAAAAGGAGTACAGGAGCAGCACTATTCACAGTCCCTGAACAGCAGAAACAACCCAAATGTCCATCAACGAACGAATGAATGAACACATGTGGCACATCTGGGCCATTTGAAATAGGAGTCGGCCTTAGGCAGGAATGGGGTACTGAGCTGTGCTGCAGTATGGGTGAACCTCCAAAACACCAGGCTAAGAGAAAGAAGTCAGACACAAAGGTCACGTATTTTATGGCTCCATTTGTATGAAATATCCAAATTAGGTAAATCCAGAGAGACAGGAAGCATACCAGTGGCTGTGAGAGGCTAGGAGGAGGGGGTGCTGGGGACTGATTCTTTCATGGGTATGGGGTTTCCTTTGCAGGTGATGAAAATGTTCTGGAACCAGACAGAGGTGCTGATGGCATGACACGGTGAATGTACTAAATACCACAGAATCGTTCACTTCATTTTTAATTTTTATTATTTTTTTTGAGATGGAGTCTCACTCTGTCACCCAGGCTGGGGTGCAGTGATGCGATCTCGGCTCACTGCAACCTCTGCCTCGCAGACTCAAGTGATTCTCCTGCCTCAGCCTCACAAATAGCTGGGATTACAGGCATGCACCACCATGCCTAGTGATTTTTTTGTATTTTTAGTAGAGACAGGGTTTCCCCATGTTGACCAGGCTGGTCTGAAACTCCTGAGCTCAAGTGATCCACTCATCTTGGCCTCCCAACTTCGGGATTACAGACATTAGCCAGTATGCCCAGCCAACCGTTTGCTTTAAAATGCTTATTTTTACACATGAGAATTTTATCTCCTTTAAAAAAGAATACAGAGTGAATGATTCTATTTACATAATGTTTACAAAAGAAGCTGGATGTGACTTCTACTGGCAACCAAGTTGGATTGGATTCAACCTCCTACATGGAGCAGCTGCAGACCCAGATGGCCCAAGACACAGACATCAGGCACCCCAAGACGATGAACCCCGAGAGATGAAAAGGAGCGAGGTGAGCCCAGCTTCCTGCCCAGAGTGTCCACACTGCAGTGCAGGGAGGGGAATGGAGGCTGAGTCGGGGGACTCCCTGAGCTGAGGAGCTGAGGGTCTGGGGAGACCCTGGCAGCTGGCTTCACAGGGCAGGGTGGCAGAGAGGAGAGAGTGCACAGAGAGCATGCTAAGAGGTCTACACAAGGTCCTATGAGAATCTCTAGTGTCCCATCGGGCAAAAATTTCTGAGCTGTAACAGCCAAAGCACTATCCATCAAAGAAACTAGTAAACCTGACTTCATCAAAATTAAGACTTCCTGGTATTTTTTGAAAGACACCATTAAGAGAACAAAAAGACACACCACAGACTGGGAGAAAGTATTTCCAAGTTACAAATCTGATGAAGAACTTGTTTTTGGTCAGGTGTGGTGGGTCACACCTGTAATCCCAGCACTTTGGAAGGCCGAGGCAGGAGGATCACTTGAGGCCAGGAGTTCAAGACCAGCCTGGGCAACAGAGTGAGACCCCATCTCTACAAAAAGAGAAAAAAACTTAGCTACGTGTGGTTGCACCACCTGTAGTCCCAGCTACTCAGGTGGCTGAGGCAGGAAGACCATTTGAGCCCAGGAGGTCAAGGTTGCAGTGAGGTATGATCACACTACTGCATTCCAGCCTGGATGACAGAACCAGACCCCAAGTCAAAAAAAGAAAAAATAACTTGTTTCTGGAATATAGAAAAAATTCTCAAAACTCAATAATAAGAAACAATTCAACAAAATAAGATGAGCGAAAGATTTGTTCGTACACTTCACCAAAGAAGATATACCATAGCATGTAAGCACGTGAAAAGATGATCAATGTCATCAGTCATTAGGGAAATGCAAATTAAAGCCATGAGCTACTACTATACCCTATTGGAATGGCTAAAATTAAAAAGTCTAACCATACCAAGTGCTGGTGAGGATGTGGAGAAACTGTAACTCTCACACACTGCCAGTGGGAATGCAAAAACAGTACAACCACTTGGGAGAACTGTTGAGCAGCTCTAGAAAAAATTAAACATATACCTGCCATATGAGCCAGCCACACCTACTAATTATTCAAGAGAAACAAAAGCACACACCCAAAGACTTGTACATAAATAATTCATAGCAGCTTTATTTTTAATAGCCAAACCCTGGAAACAACTAGAAAGTCTATCAACAGGTGAATGGAAAAACAAACTCTGGTGTATCTATTCAATGGAATATCATTTAGCAATAAAAAGAAATAAACTACATTATACCCTACAATGTGGATGAGTCTCAGAAAAATTATACTGACTAAAAGAGGGCAAACAAAAAGCATTATATGCTTTTCTAAAAAAGGACATGGTGGTCAGGTGCAGTGGCTCACACTTATAATCCCAGCACTTTGGGAGGCCAAGGCAGGAGGACTGCTTGAGCCCAGGAGGTTGATACCAGCCCGGACAACATAGTGAGACCCTACCTCTACAACATTAAAAAAAAAAAAAAAAAAACTATAGGACGTTGGTGTAGGCAAGGACTTCATGACCAAAACACCAAAAGTATTGACAACAAAAGCCAAAATAGACAAATGGGACCTAATCAAACTCCACAGCTTCTGCACAGCAAAAGAAACAATCATTAGAGTGAATCGGCAACCAACAGATTGGGAAAAAATTTTTGCAGTTTACCCATCTGACAAAGGGCTGATATCCAGAATTTACAAAGAACTACAACAGATTTACAAGAGAAAAACTAACAAGCCCATTCAAAAGTGGGCAAAGGATATGAACAGACACTTTACAAAAGAAGACATATGTGAGGCCAACAAACATATGAAAAAATGCTCATCATCACTGGTCATCAGAGAAATGCAAATCAAAACTACATTGAGATACCATCTCACGCCAGTTTGAATGGCGATCATTAAAAAATCTGGAGACAACAGAAGCTGGAGAGGATGTGGAGAAATAGGAACACTTTTACACTGTTGGTGGGAGTGTAAATTAGTTCAACCATTGTGGAAGACAGTGTGGCGATTCCTCAAGGACCTAGAAATAGAAATTCCATTTGACCCAGCAATCCCATTACTGGGTATATATCCAAAGGATTACAAATCGTTCTACTATAAGGACACATGCACACGAATGTTCATTGCAGCACTGTTTACAATAGCAAAGACCTGGAACCAACCCAAATGCCCATTGACGATAGACTGGATAGGGAAAATGTGGCACATATACACCATGGAACATTATGCAGCCATCAAAAACGATGAGTTTGGGTCCTTTGTAGGGACATGGATGAACCTGGAAACCATCATTCTCAGCAAACTGACAGAAGAGCAGAAGATCAAACACCGCATGTTCTCACTCATAGGCGGGTGTTGAACAATGAGAACACATGGACACAGGGAGGGGAGCACTACACACTGGGGTCAGTTGGGGGGAAATAGGGGAGGGACGGTGGGGGGTGGGGAGAGATAGCAAGGGGAGAAATGCCAGATGTAGGTGATGGGGAGGAAGGCAGCAAATCACACTGCCACGTGTGTTCCTATGCAACAATTTTGCATGTTCTTCACATGTACCCCAAAACCTAAAATGCAATAAAATAAATAAATGGGAAAAAAAAAAAACTAGATAGGCATGACAGCACAAGCCTACAGTCCCAGCTACTCTGGAAGCTGAGGTGGAAGGATTGCTTGAGCAGAGAGGCAGAGGTTGTGATGAGCCGAGATCACACCACTGTACTCCAGCCTAGGTGACACAGTAAGACTGTCCCAAGAAGAAAAAAAAAAGGCATGTGTGATCTAGTTTACATAATATTCTAGAAAGTAAAAGACTCTACAGTGACAGAAAGCCTCTCACTAGTTTCTGGGGACAAGCAGCAGCAGAAGGAAGGGATTACTAAGGATCTGGAAGAGACTTTTGGGGTGACAGGTATGTTCATAAACTTTATCATGGTGATGATTTCTTGAATATGTACATGGGTCAGAATGTATCCAGTTGTACACCTTAACCATGTACTACTGTTCACCGTGTGCCAATTAGACATCAACAAAGCTGATTTTTAAAAAGCAGAACTCATTGATGCTGCCCTAAGTCAGAAGAGTGGTACCCCAGTTAAGGATGGGTATTAACAAGAACGGGGGACAAGGCAGAGGCTGGGGGCTAAAGATGGTCCGCGTGCTGGTGACATGGGCATGTTGAGATGGTGGACAGGAGAGCTGTACACTTACAACTTAGGGTCTTTCCCGTGCACAGGATCGATTTTCATCAACACCTTTTCCAAATAAAGCCAACTACGAGCTGACTATTCAGATCTGGACCAGCCACTTAGTTCTGCAAGGAGTCGGCAGGGTCAGAGTTCACAAATACCCAAGTTTCAGGTTCCAAAGCCCAAGAATGAAGCGGGGTGGGCCTGCCTGGTGGAGCAGGGTGGGTGTGGCCACCTCTCTTACCTTCTGCTGAAGGTCTCTCATCCTTCTAGCTCTGTCTCCTGGACACTTGGGGCTGGCTGGCCGTGGTGCAGGCCCAGGTTCCGGTCCTGGGGGCTTCTCTGCCTCGGCCTCTCTTCCGTCTTCCTGACCCCAGAATGACTTCCTGCCAAACAGCCTGCGAGCAATTTCCTCAGCATTTTCCAGCCGGAGCCCGAGCTAAGAAGAGAAGCCAGGGGCTCAGGAAGGAACAATTCAATCACAGGGGTGATGACAAGCTGTCAGACTGGGGATATGAATGACAGACCCAGAAGCCTTGAGCAGGGCACTCCAGGCTCCCTGGTGCCCACCTGGACTCAGGTTCAGGGACACAACCTTGGGAAATCCATCACTCTGTGTATCTACTTGGTACACACCACACTGGAAAAATTCTTGCCGACTCTTTTAGGCTTGGATCAAATGTCACCACCTCCAGGAAGCCCCCCTGAACTCTCATGTCACTTTCTTCCTACCTCCTCTGCCCTACACACAATATACTCAGACTGGAAAGTGTATCTCCCTCACAAGATCCATGATAAGGGCAAGGACTCATGTCTCAATCACTAGATACCTGCCCGACTTGGCCTGGGGCGGTTCTCAAAATTTGATAGGTGGATAAATGGATCCTTCCTCCTGTCCCTCCTGCCTTCCACCTACCCTTCTGTCCTTCCCATTCATCCACCCATCTTTTCTTTTTTTTTTTGAGATGGAGTCTCACTCTATCACCCAGGCTGGAGTGCAGTGGCACAATCACAGCTCACCGCAACCTCTGCCGCCCAGGCTCAAGCAATTCTCCTGCCTCAGTCTCCCTAGTAACTGGGATTATAGGCGCCTACCACCATGCCCAGATAATTTTTTGTATTTTTTAAATAGAGATGGGGTTTCACTATCTTGGCCAGGCTGGTCTTGAACTTTTGACTTCGTGATCCACCTGCCTCAGCCTCCCAAAGTGCTGGGATTATAGGCGTCAGCCACCAAACCCAGCCACCTTCCATCTTTTCTATCCTTTGTCCTATCCGTCCTTAGTTCCTCTTCATCCATCTGCTTTTCCTTTCTTATGGACACCTCTTCTTCCATCTATTCTTTCTTCCCTCTTTCCATCCAGACATCTCTGATAGCGTTTGCAGACAAGTCACCAGAGTCCAGCTCTTCACAATGACTAGTGGGTGGATGGATGGATAATGGATGGATGTGTGACTCAGAGGATGGACTGATGGATGGATGTGGGTGCACATGGCTGGCTAGGTGGATGAAAGATGGCTGAGTGGGAGAACAGATGAATAGA